TTTTTTATATTTAAAATTATTTGTGCCTGATGAAATGAAAAGCTTAGAGTACCTTAAGAATTGAAAAAGGATAATAGTACAAATTTTCAAGTTTGAAATATTTCTGCAAAAAGTTGAACAAAAAGGTTCAAAGTCTTAAATTGTCCTAATGTTAGTTTATATATTTTTGTGTTAAGTATATAGAAATTTATAATATTTTAACGTATATCGTACATATTATAATATTCAAAAAAATTTAACAATCACAAAATATATTTAAGCTAATAAGCATATCTTACAAAAACTTCAATGTAAAAAAATAGTTCAGTTCTAAATAGTTTTAGTATCCACATAAAGTAAAAGGTACAATTTCAGAATTAATTTCTATATTATTTTACTTCAGACATAAACCTATGTCATGCATTCCACAATAAAATAAATAAACCTTAACTTTACAAATAAAAATCTCTCTACAAACTGATATAAAATAATTGCCTTCATATCATTATTATACGTATGTGATATACATATCACCTCGAACAACTTTTTAAAAAATACAAAAACTCAATCTGTAATTATTTTTCACACAAACAATTCATCATCCTTCTTATTTCCCTCTAGTTCTTCCGTGGGGCCCCACACCCCATATCAGAAGAGGGTGCTTCGGTTGCACAATCAATCTGGAAAACTCGCCAATTAATTCCGCATAATGGATTTTCACAAATAACGAGGAGAAGGAGGGGCTTCACGAGTGAAAATGATACGGTGCCCCCTTGCGGAAAAAGACGTCTCGGAGAAAAATAAAACGGAAAAATAAGCGAGAAAACTGTTGGAATAAATTGTCAGAGGATAAAACAACTGGGGGATAAAATTAGTTTTCTAAATAAAAACTAATTATTTCAAAGGTAGAAATTTCAATTGCTAATCCTGGTTTTATTATATCTGTCAATTCGAACTGCGGGGGCTTTGGTAGAGGTGTCTATGTAGCCTCCGCTGTCGACCCCACAGTCAATATCATCATGAGCTTAAAGCTCAAAGCTCCTCGGGGCTACATGAAAGTTCCAAGGAACTAAATTGCTTATCATAAACCACTTAGGGGCTTATGGACGGACCTACTATGTGGTCGAAAAGCTCTTTAGGACTTTTGGAGATAAAAATTTATGATAGGGGAAGGATTGTGTAACTGTAGACAAGATCATGTTGAAGGTTATGCCAGTTTAGTATAATTAATATTTATTTTCGCATAACTTGGACATGAAGGATCTATTCTACAAGAAACGTCCTTCAAACGTATTTGAATATTCCTTTTGCCTCTGCTTTTCTTGCTCCTCCAGCAGTGATTAATAATGTCTTTACGATTTTTATGTTACTTTTTATTCGTTCGAAGGGTAATTTTTTCTCACGTCTTGGCAAATCGCCAGTTTAATAATCTACCGGGAGTGCTTTGGAAAAACAGGGCTTGGAAAAGTCAAATGTTAGTAGAAAGCAAACAAATATAACCTCAAAACATTTTGCAATTTCAAACTAAAATATTGTACTTGTAGTTTCATAAATTGTGCAAAATGTCTATTTATCTTTCTATAATGAACTAAAGTAAAATAAATAGAAAACTATTTAACTGTTTATTAATTACAGAACGAAACTGGCAGAGAGAACAACGGAATGCAATCATTGTTGTAATTAACTGGGTGCGCGCGGGTAAATAGAAAGTGTAATTAGAAAGAAATACCATGAAATGTGCAGGAAAGTTGGGAATTTTGCAATTGCGGTAATAAAATCATATATTTCAGTCTAATATTTATTACATATAAACTTTAATAGGCTTTAATACCACGCAATATGAAATTATATGCACTATTGACAACAGTCAACTCTCCCATTGTAGTAATAAAAAGACGAAAATTAGAAGGATATTTAATGAAAAGCAAGGTAAAGATATAATATCATAATTTTGTAAGTAATTTCAAAGATTTAAAACATTTAAATCTTATACAAATTAATAATCTTATATATAAAATTCTTCTGTACGGGTGTATGATTTGATACTTCTCCCAAACGGTTATTCGGATTTTGATAATTCTTTTTAGAGTTGCATTAAGTATTTTCGGACATTTTGCACGATTTAACATTTTACAAAATGTTACATGTAATCGCGAATAAGTCTTGGTTTCAAACAATTGGTAGACGGTATATGACCAAAAATTGACCAAAACCTATGATGGCCTAACTAAGGAAAAAAATACAATGAAAACTAATGAAAAGTTAGGAAATTGGCATTTATGTTTTGATTATTTACACGCAATTAAAACACAATTCATTTTTTCAACCGACAATGCCACAATTGTTGTACTTATATATTGATTTTACTAAGAATTTTAATAAGAAGTTTTGATTGCTAATAAATTTGATGAATTAGTGAAACAATTTCAATTGTGAAAACAATTTTATACATATTATTTATTACGTGCATGGCTATAATTGCAAAATATAAATTAATTTCAGTAAAATGTAATTTAAAATTAAGTGCAACTGCAGTACAGCCAACGTTATAATTATCTTCACCTGAACAAAGTTCAAATGAATGAAATTTTATAGTCAGGCAATTAATTTCAATTTTACAATTATATGGTTGCGCAATTAATTAAATATCTAATAAGTATGTCATTAATATCTTTATATACTTAATCGTAATCATAGCCTGAAACGTAATTATAGTTTAAAATATTTACACATTTATAATTGTCAGTCAGCCATTAAAAAAAAAAACTTCACGTCTGTTAAAAATATGAAAGGTCCTATTTTATTAATAAAACTTAGTGAAAACTAAAAAAATCTTCAATTTTAAAACAATGCAATTAATTTTATATAATTAATACTTATATTAATATTTTTTAATATAGGGGAAAGTCTCCTAGTGGCGGACACCTAAGGTTATTTATAAATAAATCAAAAAATATTGTACGAGAAGTTTATTAAATTATGATTTATGTTAGATAACAAAGTTCGAAATCAAACTAAATTAACAAAACCGCAATCTTTTTAAAAAAATAATTAACACTATCAATCAAAATTTGGTATCAAAAAATATGACTTTATACAGCCTAGTACCGGACATTTCAAAATAACCTGCATTGATCACATACGTAGCCATCTCCACACTTTGGAATGTTTGCACATGTGTCTTTGACAAATATTCTTAGATATTGCAAAAAAATCACTATTTATCCACCCTTTTGGCTGGGCCACACCGATGCTCTCAGCTGAAGCATTCATCAAAAGATTTTCATTCTTTGACTAGGAAATACGAAGAATGAGGGTATGTAGTGACCGTTAGCACTCCTACAGAACAAAATTAAATAATTGGAATAAATTACGTAAATTCTCACAAGAAATATCAATATGTTTACTGTCCACCGCTAAGGAACGACTTAGGGTCCGGTGCTAAGGGACAGACATTTTCGTTCATTTGGTGGCACCTATTAAAATTGGTTAAAAGATCTAATAATATTCTACTATTTTACGGATAACAATCAAGTACAAGTTTTATCTTTGCATACCACTCAATTGTAAATGCATTAATATGCTAGAATTACTTCCATTGATATTTAGATAACGCCGTGATTTTGCGCATAAAACAGGAAAGTGTTGCTCTCGCCGTGGCCGTGTGCGTCACAGGCGAGGCTTGGGGCGTGATCCTGTATCTTTGTGACCCCCCTGCATCTTTCACTTGTATTTTGAAATAAAAAGATATATACTCGCTTAAATAATACGTGTTAAATAGAGTGTCCGGCGCTTGGTGCCATCCGGCATTACGGGACTTCCCCCTATGTATTGGAAAAGTAAGAAACAATTGCAGCCATTGTTGTAATTAACTCATTAAATTAAATAAAAAATTGAGGTAAAAAATGTGATGAATTAAAGATTATGTTGTAATAATATGATAAGATAATAATTATGATGAGTTTGCAAGTTTCATTTACGTAAACAATAAGCTTTTATTTAATATATTACAAATAAACTTTAATAACATAGGTTTTAAATTGCGTGACAAATTATAACTTTTAGTATTTATTTAGTCAAAATAGTCAAAAGTACGGAATTTCATATAAGTAAATTTAATTTTAAGCACTTTAGTTTATTATTCGAAATATACGTTAATGATTATAATTACAAATGCAAATGTAAAATCAAAATTAAAGTTAGTTGTGCAACTGTCAAACAATTGTTACATATGAAAATTTACTACATGATTTATTTATTGTTATTATATTGCAGGAACTATTTTTAATCCTGGGATAAAATGAAACATTTCATCAGGATTTTAATTAAATTGATAAATGGGCTATAAAATGGAAAAGAAAATTCATATGGTTATGGAAAGCTCAGGATAGTTAGCAGTGACACAACATATTAAAGCTTGAATGAATTTTCAAGGAACATTCTGCAAATGTTTATATATTATATGAATTAACAATGTTCAGAAAATTTATGACAATTAAATATAAATTGGCCATAATAAAAGTCCTGGATGACCTTTTATTAGCCAAAGCTCTTGACACCACAATGGAGAAATTAAGGTATAATATAAAATATTAATATCTTGATGTCTGTTAAGAGCTATTTTCAAAACACAACTTTATATTAGTATTAAGTCTAAAAAGTCATTTAACTGTGTAGCCATCTTTTGAGGAGCTTTACAACAAGATCAAGATTTGAAATTTTAATCAGTTTTATTTATCAAATAATAATGATAAAATCATTACTTTTATACTAAAAATACTTCAAAATGACTGAAAGCTTTTCAAACTACAAAGTGCTTTTAGTATGAAGTGCATATTGATTAACAGAAATATATAAAATGAGTCATTCATAAGTCCTTCCTCTACAGTGGATACAATTATTGATTTTTGTTTTTCTCCTTGCTTATTGTGCAGCTGTCATAATTCTTAGTTTGACATTAAAATTAAAATGTCATTTAAACTTAATAACATAATATATATTCATTAATTCATAGTTCTGTACAAAATTATAAGTAAACATTCCAACAAGTAAGCTAAAGCACACTAAACTTTCATTAGTATCTATGGTGATAAATATGAAAACACAAAGCAAATCAATAAAATACTATTCTAATTTCTGTTTCAGTGTCTTCTAAAATGGAAATACTTGCTAAGCCTTTGAGGCAAAGACAGCTGCCGTTAAACGAATGTGTTAAAGTTGTAGTCAGGTGTAGACCGATCAGCAAGAAAGAAGTCGAAGACAATCATGTTTCTATTATCAAAGTCGTGCCTGAAAGGGGACTTATACAAATTTGTAATCCGGCACATGATAATGCTAAGAAAATTTTTACATACGACTGTGCCTATGATTGTAATACAACACAGACCATGTTATATGATGAAGTTGTTAGACCATTGGTGTCTTCGGTAAGTTGATAGAATAATTCTTTTAATATGTTTTGTATGTGTACATTATGCAACATGGTTTTAGGTGCTAACTGGTTTTAACGGCTGTGTTTTTGCTTATGGACAAACTGGGACGGGTAAAACTTATACAATGGAAGGAGATGCTGATCAAGTAGGAGTAATACCAAAAAGTTTTGAACAAATCTGGAACCATATTAATAGGACAAACAATACAAATTTTTTAGGTAATTAGTAGTATATATAATGCAACACTTGTATAAAGTTATTATCATTTAATCTATTCCTAGTAACCACTTCATATCTTGAGATATATATGGAGGAGCTCAAAGATTTATTAAACAAAAACAATGACAAGAATTTAGAAATTCGTGAACGTGAAGGCTGGGGCACATATGTCCCTGATTTAACCTCAGTGGTTTGCAAAAGCGTGGAGGACATGATGCGTGTAATGCGCAAAGGCAATAAAAATAGAACAATCGGCCATACAAACATGAACACACACAGCTCGAGGTCTCATGCTGCTTTTATGATAACCATAGAAATGTGTGATACATTCACAAACAGTGTTACTGTTGGTAAACTTAATTTAATTGATTTAGCAGGTAGCGAGAGGCAAAATAAAACTGGAGCTACTGCTGAACGTTTGAAAGAAGCAAGTAAAATCAATAAGTCCTTAAGTTCTTTAGGAAATGTTATATCAGCTCTAGCAGAAAATTCTCCACACATTCCATACAGGGATTCTAAGTTAACAAGGTTATTACAAGATTCATTAGGAGGCAATTCTAAAACTATCATGATTGCAAATATTGGGCCGGCTAGCTACAATTATGATGAAACTTTGACCACTTTAAGATATGCTCATCGTGCTAAAACTATACAAAATCTTCCAGTTGTTAATGAAGATCCTAAAGATGCTAAAGTCAGGGAATACCAGAGTGAAATCACTCGTCTAAAGGCTTTGATTGAAGAACGCAAACTGAAAGAGATTGAAGACCGAAAGAAGACCACCAGGCACAAGATTGAAATGGATAAATTAGCTCAGGAGAATAATAAAGAAGAAATGGCTAGGAGGAGAGAAATGATGAAGAAAGAAGAGGAATTAAGGCGTAAGCAACTTGAAGATGAAAGAATGACCACAGAAGCTTTGGCTAAACAATTAGAACATTTGGAAAGTCAGTTGGTACGAGGTGGAGTCAATATAATTGACAGTGTGGCTGAAAATCAGATTGAACTGGAGGAACGTTTAGCAGCCATTGCAGAGAGGAAACAGCGTGAAATTGAGATGCAACAGAAATTAATGCAGGAGGAGGAAACAACCTTAGGTAAATACAAGAAAACCGCATTACAGGATTGCTATATGCAATATTTTTTATCTTTAATGTGTTCTTTTCTAGGTATAAGAGAGACTTACAGCTCTCTGCAGCAAGAAGTTGAAGCCAAGACAAAGAAAATAGAAGAGATAAACAGCAAAATCCAAGCAGCAAAACAAGAATTGCAGGATTTAAAAGATGAGCACATTCGTGACCGTACAGAATTAGAATTGACACAAAATGCTTTAGTGAAAGAAATGAAATTAAAATTGATGATTATTGATAATTTTATACCAAATGAAATCAAAGATAAATTTTATGCAAATGCAAAGTTTGATGAAGATTTGGACATATGGACAGTTGCAATAACTAAAGAAATGTTGCCACCAAGACGACCGATATCCAAACCAGGACGGCGCAGGCCTATTTCTGAGGTCTCTTTGGTTAAAAGACATTACCCTGGCTTGGCAGGTACTTACATAATCACTTATTCAAAATTTACTATTAGTAATTTAAATCTGTATATTTAGGTATACGTCACAGAGGTGAGAATATTATTGAGTATGACTTGGACATGCCATTTCGCACCACATTTGAATACGAAGCCCCAACAGTGTCCCCAGCGTTACAATCAGTATTAGAAGATGCTTTACAACCAGAAGGAGATTTAGAAATCACTTCACCCCGTCAACCGTTCTTCAGAACTGCCCAAATCATGAAAAGACCTAGTACAACAAACCGACACAATCAAAACTATTCAGCATCTGGTACTAAGTTATCTAGACCGAAGACTACTTCAGTTGGGAATATTATGGGGGCCAATAAGGAGGGCGGGGTGTATCCTAAGACTAGGGGGCTTGTGCCGAAATGAATGTTGCTTAGGTTGCTCATATTCTTGTTGCACGTTTATGTATTAGTTTATGTGTAATGGTAATGGACACAGGGATAAAAACGTTTGAAAGTTTGAGAAAGATATTGTTGAAGATTGTGATAGAAAACTTGTTTATTGTTTTGATGTCAACAGTATTATAGACAAAGAATTATTTTATATATATATGCACGTAGCATTTGTGATGTACTTTTATAAAAGTTAATAGTTAACATAACTTGTTTATATAAAATTAACTTGAAGACATGTATGATAATAATATTATATACAAACACATATTAATTTATTTATATTTTAAACATACTATTAGTGATTTATTGGTTAGTAAATATTTATTTTAAACTTGTATTTATCTTTAGTAATAAGAATATGAGCAAACCCACCAAAATTTAGATTAGATCATTTCTAAACAACTTGCTTGCATCTTAACTTAAGACATTCCTATTATTTTGTGATATTTATACTGTTTTTCCTAATCTACCAAAGTTAACTAGTCTTATATTTAATATTTTTATTTTTAATCTGATCTGGTCAATAGGGTGATATTTATGTATTATTATTATTTTAATAGTAGCATTAGAATTAATGGACAAGGTTCGTACTGGTTCAAATTAGATGGAATTATACAAAAGACTGAAACTGTTGGAAGTGTGTGAACCATTACAATCTTGTGGGAATTGTTCACTTCTTACACAAATTAATATATAGAATATTTATTCAACTATTAGGATTGTAGATGAATTAATTTATATAAATTAGAAGAATTTTTTGGTAACACTAATTTTTATAATAATTTTATGCTTTACGCTGTAGTCTGTAAAAGTAATTCTTCAAATTATATAATCAAGTCTACAAATAATTCCTTATAGCATTTTAACCACTTATGCAATTAAATAAATTATATTTGTAGTTGTAAATACAAAACCAAAGTATGTATAAAATAAACTTTAAGCATATTTTATTATTAAATATATACAGAGTGATAGGTTTATACTGTTAACAATTATATTCAAGAATATTAACAATGTATTAAGCGACATGCAACATGCAAGCAGAAGAAAATCGAATGGAATATACAAAGAATAGTTAAGCATCATAAAGAAAGAATTCTGCTTTCTTTCTTTTTGGATCTCGTTTTGTTCATGAATATTTAAAAATAATAATTGTATTATACAAATATAAGATTTAATACAACACAAATTGTCAATCCATGCATGCATTTTATTTATAACATCTCTTGTATCTTTTGAACAATTCATCCAATTTAAATAAAATTTTTGTGATGTTTGTAGACATCAATGTGCAGATTACATCAAGAAGCCCCTGTATAATTAAATGGAATCAAAGCAGGTGGGTCAAAATAAATACATACCTCGAGCACAGGCCTTCATAATAAACTAGTGTTTGTGGAACAAAATTCAGCAAAATTATACACATTTTAAACAAATAGTCTGTCAATTGTATATAGTACTTGAATTAAACGCCATAAACTTTTCCACTAAGTTGTGTAATTTTTACACAATAAAATTTTACAACGCGCACACGAATTAGAATAGAAATGATATGCACCACTATCTATAATTTATGTCACAATGTCTATTAATTTAATAATATTAAAAAGAAATGATCTGAAACCAACAATAAATCGAAATTATTTGGATAAATATAAATTGACAGTTTATGATTTACGAACCATATTTAATATAATGATACACTGAACTTCACTATTATTCAAATTATTGCTTATATATATGAAAATATATTTGTAAAAATTAAATAAATAAATTTTGACAATTGAATGACAGTTTGGCATACATACATGAAGGATTTGCGTTCGGTATGATTTTGAAACGCTCCGATTGGTCCAAGAGGACTTCTTGGAACCAATAAGAATGGCGGAAAAAATTGCCTTACAATTTCCTTCTAATACTCCGACGTGTCTGCTACCCTGGTATTTCATGTCGCTTTTGTACTGAAATTTGTTTGAAATATTTTGACGATTGAATGATAGGCATACATATATGAAGGACTTGCGTTCGGTATGCAATTAAAACGCTCTGATTGGCCCAAAAGGACTTCCTAGAACCAATAAGAATAGCCGAAAAAATCGCATTACAATTCCCTTCTAATACTCGAACGTGTTTGCTACCCTGGTAATTCATGTCGCTTTTGTACCGAAACTTGTTCGACTTTATGAGAAAGGCAACGTTGTATGGATGTAAGCCTTAATGACGAGAGAGTGTCTGGGCTCCTGGTAGATTTTTCGATTCCGAAACGAAAAACGTTGAGTTATTAGAACAGTTATCGCTGGCACTCTTTTTAATATACTTAATAATATTCATGATAATAATATATTTAATATACTTAATAATATATTACGTTTTTTGGTAATACATTTTTTATCAAGCTAATAATTTTAACAATTTTAATTTTACATAATAATTTTAAAAAATCGTTTATAAATAGTTAATTATAATGGACAATTAAACAAATGTTTTACGTTTATATCATGAATTTATTTCATATATATTACATATGCATCCATACATAAATTGGTATATACTCTTGGTACTCATGTAATAATAGTAATAGTTCCTGAAAACATAATATAAAAAATTTTTTGAAAGAAAGTTTTTAATTCAGATAAATATAATCATAAAGATATATAAATAATATAAATGAATTATGCACACATAACAGACTAAATAATTTATTTTACAGGTGTCACAAGTCAATTAGAAAAAAATCTTAAATATAATTAATAATTATAACTTCAGTACAAAATAACTTATTATAATAAGATGTATATATATATATATATATATATATATATATATATATATATATACGAGGTGTGTTCAAAAAGTACCCGGAATTACTAATAATTAAATTTCGCGGGTCTGGAGTGTCTGATTGTCAAAATTTTTTTTTATTGTGTTGGTATACATGCCCCTAAAGTATGATGAAATTTTCAGCTATATTCACTGTTTACTTTGTCTGTGGTAGTCGCTAAGGTTCGACGTGTTTTTCTGAGCTCGGCGATTTTTACAATGGAAGAATTGAAAAGTCAAAGAATTTGTATTAAATTTTGCGTAAAAAATGAAATAAAGTGTTGCAAAGTGCAAAAATTCACCAGATATGGCTCCGTGTGACTTTTTCCTATTCCCAAAGTTGAAGAGACCCATGAAAGGACGGCGGTTTTCCTCGATTGAAGAAAATCGCTGAGAGTGCTCAAGGACATATCAAAAAGTGAATATCAAGGGTGCTTCGAAAATTGGAAAAAACGCTGGCATAAGTGTATTATATCTGGGGGGGACTACTTTGAAGGGGACCACATTAATGTAGACGAATAAATAAATATTTTTTTGAAAAAAACGAAAATTCCGGGTACTTTTTGAACAGACCTCGTATATATATATATATATATATATATATATATATATATATATATACAAAACACACAATTCACTGACATGTGCTATCGCACTACAAATTTTCATTCTACTCTTTTATAAATTACTCTTATTATTTAATTTAGTTTATAATACAAATTCAGTTTATATTACAAATTATACAATAATATCTTTTATAACATTATATTTTATACTTACTTATTATATTTTAATACAAAGCCTTCAAAGGTACAAACACTATAATGATAAAAATTAATAATAATAATATTGATAGTAATAATAATCTTAAGATAGAATAAAATATATAAATAAAACAAATAAAATAATTATTATGTCAGTACTAATAATACTGTAATAATATTATAAATAAATTCAATGCAATATCATAAATAAACTGTGTTAAAGATTTGAAAAAGCTCATGCAATTATTATATTATATTAAAAATTATATAATTTAATACAACATATAGTTTTTTTTTTATTATGATTAAATATATTACTTCAATTTACTCAATAGTTACTTATGATATCTGAGCAGTTTGCAAGTTATAAAGGTACGAAAAAATAAATACTTGATTTAACTAGTTTTATTTTGATTTTGGAAGACACCAAATGGGTTTATCATAATTTGATTATATAATTTTTGCTACAACCTTTAAACTGTCCAGTCATCATGATCAATGTCATAAATTTAAATTATCAACAAGGCTAGATAAATAATCATTCTACATTATATATATATATACTCTCAAAAAAATTAGAATCAAACATTCCCGATGGTCAAAAAACATGTATTAGTATTTGAAATAGAGATATACACAGTACACACGAAATGTTTTGTGAGGTCTTAGAAAAGTCTTGAAATAATTAGTTGAGGTTTAAACACAAAAGACACAACGTGGCGGAATCAGTATTTATAAAGAAATAATAATCTTGTTGTAAGTGATTGATAAACTCGATATTTACTTGTAGTTATGTAATTGATGAGATTAAATTGTAATGTGAATTGTGAACAAATAATAAAAATATTAAGTACAGATTAATTCAGTTACAAAAAGTGTCTAGTTGGTATAAAGTACAATTTTGAATTTGTTTATATTTAGTGTTAATTTAATTTAAAATTCATATCCTAAACTAAAATCAAAATGTTAATATTTATTAAATACTGTGCTTCCTAATATAAATATATATTATAAATAATGTTATTATTAAATAAAGAAATTTCTTTGAAGAAAAAAACAAAGTCACATGTTAACGTTATAATTAAAAATATTTACACAACATTTTGTATTGTGACAAAAAAATTAGTTAATAATTTGTTATTTATATAAAATTAATTAATTAATCATTATTATGGGAGCAAAGAAATTTGAAAACATCCATATTAAGGTCCACCCTAATATATGTACTAATTGTAAATAAACAAAATAGTTAGAAATGCATGTTAACAGTTTAATAAACAAAATTGTTTAACTATATTTATACAAATTAATAATTATAATTATTAATTTGTATAAATATAGTTGATATGTAAACAATTTTGTTTATTAATAAACAAAATTGATTACATATTAACTATATTTTATTAATAAGCAAAATTGATTACATATTAACTATATATATACAAATTAATAATTATAATTATTAATTTGTATAAATATAATTAATATGTAAACATTTATTTTTATTAAACCGTTAACATGCATTTCTAACTATTTAGTTTACTTAGTAAATATATTTTAGGGTGGTCCTTAATATGGATGTTTTCGAATTTCCTTGCTCCCAGGAACTCAAAAGCTTCCAAATTGATAAAAAATCTCTGAAAGTTTAAGTTTTTAATATTAACTTTAAAATAATCCGCACTTCAACTAAAATTTTTGGCTTTTTGGTAAATACTTATTATATAAAATACATCAAATTTTTGTTGTAATTTTTTTATTTATGATCAAACTAATCAAATACAATGTTATTATCAAAATTTTGATTCACTAAGTTATAAAATTCTGAAAAACAAATGGAATTTTACTTATGTTATTTATTTCCATTAAATACTTTGGTTGGAGAGGAGTTAAAACTTTCAGAGATATTTTTTTATCAATTTGGGAGCATTGGAGGCCCTGGGAGCAAATAAAACCGAAAATATTTATATTAAGGACCACCCTAATATATACATGTTATAATTATTAACTAGGTTTTTTGTTCTTTTTCTAAGACTTTTTTATTTTCGCAACATTTAGCATAACAATTGAATAAATCAATTATTCAATTCAATTTATTAATATATTTATAATATTTTTATATGATTTACCATAAAATAATATAAAAATTTACTGAATCTTTAATTGAAATCAAATTCAAAGAAAAAAACAGTTAAAGTCATTTCAACGATTACTTTGCAGATTTTTTTGTCATAAAATGTAATGTATTCTGAACGCTTTTGTATATTCAAGAATTTAAAAGGTTTAAATGTACTGATAATTTGAATTAAAATCTTAATTATATTATTATTAAAATTAATTAAAATAAATTTATTCTGTTCTACAAATGCAGTTATTTTTATATATATTTTAATTATTTATTATAGAAATCTGTTTCAAAATAATAATAAATAAATAACGAATATGTTCCCAAATAGGAGCTGCGCTTATTGATGCGGAAGTAAATTTTGAATCACAAAACGACGGTTTAGAAATTTAAATTTAAATATGGCTTATGTTCAAAATTATTATTAAAATACTTTTAATAATAAGACAGTGGTTTTCAAACTAATATATCGACAGCTAATGACTAGCCAAGTTACCTAAAATTTCTTTTAATTATTTAACTTCTTCCACTTAATTGCCATTTTTTTCAGATCCAGCAAGATGTTGCGTTATTTCTTGGCAGTAGCAGCAATATCACTATTATCGACTCAGTATGGAGAGTGTGCTAAAATTTTAGGTATGAAATTAGTAACAACATCCCAATAAGGAGTAATTAATATACCATTTTATCAAATTTAAGATAAATTTACCTTCTTGATGCTTACCAAAAGTTCCATGAGGTTTATAAATTCTTCCTGGCCTTCTTCCAGGATCATGATCACTTCCACAAAACTATATCATTTCATCAGAATAAATTAAAAATTTTTCTAGGTATTTTTCCATTAAATGGTCACAGTCACTGGACTCCAAACAAGGCTCTATTGGAAGCTTTAGCAAATCGTGGACATGAAGTCACTGTCGTTGGTCATTTTCCAAGAAAAACTCCTTTGCCAAAGTAAGACCTGCATATAAGAGATAACTATTAATAAAAAAACTTGATAAAAAATATAACATCTACATAAATTGTTATTGAAGTATTTAACAATATAAATTATAACTGAACATTATTGAAATATTTAATAAATTAAGAAATTTATTTTATTAATTTTGCTATGTATTTATTTCAGTTACAAAGATATTAGTTTGGCAGGAACCTTACCAGACTTCGTAAACAATGTAAGTTACTCCTTCGTCACTCAAATGGGGTTCATGGGTGGAGCCCTGGTTATATGGACTATGGCAGGAGCTGAACTGTGCAAAAATCTATTGCACACACCACAGGTAAGAAAATTATGCATTTCGATCTCTCAGTATATTTTATCCGTTTGAAAACTGGATAATTTCTTTTATTGTAGTTCCAAGAATTAGCTAAATCCAATGAAAAGTATGATTTGATCATAACAGAAACTTTTGGTACCGATTGCTTTTTGAGTTTTGTTGACAAGTTCAAAACTCCTTGGATTTCCATGTCGTGTGCAACTCCTTTCGACTGGATGGCAGAACAGATTGATATGCCAATATTGCCAAGGTAAAATTTTATCCTGGTATACATCCAAATATGTGTTCATGTTATTTATTCCTGTAGTACTTCTCCTTTGATGTTGACATCATATCCTGATAAAATGGACTTTTGGGAACGCACTGGTAACTTCTTGATGCACATTGGAATTTTCTTCGGGTACGACCAACTACAAAAATAGACGCAAGTTAGTTTTTACTATAAAAATTTTAATTCCATTTCAGGTATCATTACGTATCAAGAATTCCCTCACAACGTGTGGCACGAGAAGTGTTGCCACAAACTCCTGATTTGTATGATTTGAGCCGAAGTGCTAGTTTACTTTTATCCAACAGTCATTTCAGTTTAACAGGGTCCAGACCAGGAGTTCCTGCACACGTCGAAGTCGGTGGAATTCACATTACTCCAGAACCAAGTCCTTTGCCAAAGGTAACAGATCACTACTTAAAATAGACCGAATGGTTAATATCCAAATTGATTCAACAGGATATCCAAAAACTCCTTGATGATGCTAAGCAAGGTGTGATATACTTCAGTTTTGGATCAATGATTCAATCCGAGACTATTCCTAGACAATCTTTAGAAGCCATGCTCGCTGCATTTGCCAAGTAACAATATGAAATCATTTATGAAGTCTAAAAGCATAAACTGAAAATTTTATATAATTTTTTTAGAAAACCTCATTTGGTTTTATGGAAAGCAAACCCTAAAAACTTCCCACCAGGTTTAGTTTTGCCTAAAAACGTGGTAACACAAAAATGGTTACCGCAGAGAGATATTCTTGCTCATCCAAATGTTAAGGTAAGACCACAAATTGAATTTGTGGATATATAATATTCGTCAAGTGGTACCAAAATTTTATATCACCTGTGACTACATTTCCATTTTCCAGGTGTTTGTAACTCATGGCGGTCTCTTGGGCACAATGGAAGGAGTTTACTGTGGAATTCCAATGATTGGAGTCCCAATGTTTGGTGATCAATTATCAAATATCAAAAATTACGTTCGAAGAGGCATCGCACTCATGGTGAACGTGCAAGAAATTGAAGAAAAGTTTGAAAAATCCCTAAATGAAGTTTTGACTGACAAAAAATTCAAGGAAACTGCTCTCAAGTAAAATAACTATCTGTTTCATCAGGATATTAAAGAATTAATGTTGACTGATATGTTTTTTACCTTCAAGAGTATCAAAACAATTCAAAGACCGTCCAGCGCCACCATTAGATACTGCAGTTTTCTGGACAGAGTACGTTTTGCGTCATCAAGGCGCTCCACAACTGCGGACACCTGGTAAATTCCTAAAATGGTACCAAATCTGGTTGTTTGATGTTATCGGATTTGTGGCAGCTGTTGTACTAGGCTTTCTGTTGGTCCTGTATTTTACCTGTAAAATGGCATTCAGGTAAATAAAATATAACAACAGATTTATGATAATTGTGGCTAATAAACTGTGATTTACTTTATATTCAAATGTACATTTTCTTGTAGGTCGTGCATGAAATCTACGCCAAAAGACATTCGTAAAAAGAAGAATTAGTATTAAAACTTAATTTAAAATTAAAAAAAATATTTACAGGAATTACCAAAGATCCAAGCACTTATTCAGAATACTGGAGATTCTTTATAGGTTGAACTGATTTTGGATAGAAATGAATTTTGTATTTTCTTGTTTTGTAAGAGTATAAAATTTATTTTTATTAAAAACATAATAAAATGGACGTTTTTATATGGACATGAATGTATATACAATATATATATATATATATATATATATATATATGTGTGTATGTATGTATATATATTTAGAAACATATCCCTTCCTTCTGCAAGGTTTATCTATTATATTTTCACATAACTACTATCATAACTTATCGTTATTTACAAAATGATAAATAAAGTATGCAATGTATAATATTATTTCATAAGCTTACAGCAAAAATATTAAATTATAAAACTTGCACTTAAATTAAATTCTTATTTATGATAAATATATATAAACAGAAAAAAAAATCAGATGATTGGTACACAGATAAAAACCAATAAAATTTTTAAATAGAATTCCATGATTTAAATAGATTTCATGTACACAATAGACAGAAAACTAAACTATATTTCCAAAAAACACCTCACCTTACGTTTCGAGCCCGACTTTCACCCGTAAATATGCATGGTTTAGAAAACCGCTGTTTGTTGCCCTCTAAATTAGGATTTCAGGTAATACAACTAACTTTTCTTCTTGAAATAATCAACTTTTCACTTTTACGTGAAACTCTGGTAAAGTTTAGCTGACCCTGTAATGCGCCATTGTCCCTTATCAAACGACCCCTGATTCGTCCCTGAAAATATAAAATCATTCATCTGGCGTCTTTCAGACTCGGTCATTCTCGCAAATGTTCGCACATATGCGAATGAGAGATAAATTCGATTGCGAATTATAATATATGCCCAATATATATATATATATATATATATATATATATATATATATATATATATATATATATATATATAACTGTGTGTATGTAATATATACATACATTCAGGCGTTCATTCATTTATACAAAGTTAGATAGCTTAATTAATTAAAGAATAGCTAAATTAATTCGAATCTTGATTCGACTCATCTTCAGTAAAATTAAATACAAATGGAATTTTACTATTATTAATAGTTGTTGTATATTAACTTTAATACTCTATGTAAGATATAGTACTAATTATTAATAGTATATATAAATACAAAATTAATTACTATTAATATTTCCACAGAATTGTTTCTTTTGGATGCTATTGTCTAATTCAATTTTTTAATAATAATATTTTGATTAGTAACATTAAATTAAAATGCCAAATTTACAAGATTTATACTTTTATTTATATTTATTAAATTAGTAAGATTCATTCGAAAATTTAATTGGCAATTGTCTAAAGAGATAAAAATCATGTCGCAGTCAAAAATTTTTGGCCCACGCACATATAACTTTCACTATTCATAAACTACGCGTACACTTTCATTTGTTGATTTTTTGTATACATCTATATATTATGAAACAACACATGAATTTACATTTGTAATTTATACATGGACCTAGTTTTTAAACAATAAAAAATTAATTACTTAAAATTCAATTATATCACCATTTATTTGTGAATTTATCTGTGTTATCTTTTGTAAGAATTTGTAAAAAGTTATTAAATTTTTTGTGAAAATTAAATGAAAAAAATATTTTTTATTATTATAATATTCTACAGAAACTTGGTATACTTTATTTACACAATTGAAAATGAACTTGCCATGAAGTAATCAAACGCACTTTTTAATCATATAATAACTCTGAATGAGCCTTTTTAAAATAAACTAGTCGGATGTATGACATCATGCTTTAAGGCAAATTGCTGGAACTTCCCGTACCGTAACGAAATGTTCGAAGAATTCTGAATGTTTTCAAATAGATTATTATAAATATTGTAACATTGTCTAATATTTATAAGAATTATATAAACTGAATTGCAAAGTTGAAATTATTTGTTTAAAGTATATTAGAACTATAGTCAAAATTCAAAATAAAATCTGAATTGTTTTCGATATACAATTTTTTTTCTTTTTTAAAGAAAATTTAAAAAAAATGTTGAAACAACAATTTTTTTTTTCTAAAATCAATTATTTTGGTAAGACAAGCAGAAAGTTCTTTGAATCATTTAAATCGGACGCTTAGTTCTCTGAAAAACTGCCATTTTTTGCACATTTAGCTCCGTATCTTCAAAATGGCTGAGCCTGCCTATGCCAAAAACTAATCAGCACATTTTCCTATCAATAGGAATCGAATGTTTTTTGAACCATTTGAATCGGTTGATCCGTGCGCCCGAAAACGTGACCGAAAAATTGTATCCATACATACAGACACACACACACACATCTATTTTTTCTGAGGTATGCCAAAATGTTCAGAAATCTTCAAAACGTCGAGAAATGCAAAAATTTTCAATTTCGATTTTTGGTCGATTACAATAACTTACCCTACGGGAAGTTAATAAATAATTTGAAAAATTTGTGCAAAATCAATAACGAATAAAATTGTTTAGCATTTTAATATCAAATAGAAACTCAATAATCTTGGCAATTGAAAAACAGACTTTTAGTGAGTTCTCTCGTACATAGTATTTGCCAATTATTTGTGCATTTATTTCTAATAATAAAAGATATATTTTTATATATATATATATATATATATATATATATTATCTTTTATTATTATATATTATATATATACATATATATATATATATATATATATATATATATGTAATATCCTAAGCAGTTATATAATTGAACACTTTCTCATTTCTTCCAACATCTCTCATCTAGATACGATTCTGTACTACTAATATTTATTCATTCAAAGATATCGATTGCAAATAATCTTTGTTGATATCAATATTTAATCAATAAATAAAACAAAGTATAATATATGATAGAAATAATTACAAATAAAGAAGCAGCCTCGTTATGTTCCCAATCAAGCAAAAATATTCCTCAAATTCTGAAAGAACACTTTTCATTTTCATTACTATTTATGAGCAGATTTTGTTGTATATTATTTTTATGCTAGACAATGTTGTAGATTATTTAATTTTGTAGTCAAATTGATCAATTATATTAGACTAAATGATTCATATATACTATGAATAACACAAAAAGTTCAATATGTACAGCAATTCTTATCAAAATTACAATAATATTCTGAAAAGAGTACTTTACAACAATCTGACTAATTTTAGACGTAGTTAATTACTCATGTTTACTTTGAGGCGTTCGCGGTTTTCAAAGAAATTTTCTTATTTTATATGTATATGTATATATATATATATATATACACATTTTTCTATAATAGCTTTACATTGTGATTATTTCTTTGTAGATTTATAACGGACAAAAACACACACATACAATTGAGAAAAAAACATGAACGTCATCGCAACAACCTGACAATAGGAAACAACATTTCCAGTAACTATTATATATGCATGTATAGTTATATATACGGACATATATGTATATATATATATATATATAGAATTGTGTGTATAAATGCATGCTTTGTCCACGCACACATATTTTAACAAAGATAACAGTGCTCGCCGAAAAAAATTTTCTGTTTATGAAAGAGTACTAAAAAATTAATAATTAAAAAAAGTTATATATAATTTTATATATAAAATGTATATACAAAATCTTTAAATTCATTACACACCCATAAAAAGTAAACTATATACAAAAAAAGAAGGGCGGGGTAAATAAAGTTGGCACTCTTGCATCAAATTTAAAATTAAACTAATTGGTATTGGTATTTTGCCTTGAGGCAAGTTACATGAACTTTCCGATATGTGTAAATAATCGACTTAATCAATAAAAAATAAATTAATTTAGCAGTGCTTAAAAGTATTCCGAGTGGATTTATTACACATAAGTGAAAACAAGCAAACACGTTAACTCGGAGTATTTTCTAAAAACAAATTTTCAAAAATCAATATTTTTTATAATTGAACCAGTAGGACTTTAATGGTTTAGTATGTTCATTAAGACCAAGTACTCTATTGTTATACCAAGTAAATATTCTAATTTAGATTTTATAACAAACGTCTAAAAAACTACTCATTATCTTAAACTTTGAAGAATTTTTAAAATCAAACTACTTGTCGTAATATTTGTAATATTTTAGTATGTTTTATAAGGCCATGATATATATCGCCAAAAAGGTTCCTTAAAAATCGGCTTAAATTTTTTTTTAACAGTTAATTACAAGAAAACGGCTCGGTAGATTTTCACCTAAAACTAATCAGTACCATTCCCAATATCTTAATTTATGATTCGAACAAGTTTTAATTTTTTTAAATCGATTATTTAAATTAGAATGATCTTAAATGTTGACAAAATGTTTAATACTTTTTTCCAAATTATAAAGAAACGGCTCGGCAGATCGTCGCACAAAACTGACAAACGAGTTTTATGGCAAAATATCTGTTCACCCACACACATACTTTTTCCAAATTTGGTTTCATTCGATTCAGAATGGCTTGAAACGTCGAGAAAACATAAAATTAGTGAATTGAACTTTTTTATGAAAAACTTTTCGAATAAAAAGCAATTAGTTTTTGCAGAAGTTCATCAAATATTTCGAAGTTTGCACGAATTTAAATAATTCGGTTAATGTGAACAATATGTCGTACTTTCCTTAAAAATTCCTTAACAAAATCGTTATACTAGGTGCAATAGAAAGTGCAGTTATTCAATTAGCTGTTATTTTTAGCATTAATAATAAATAATCTACAATGTTGTATAACAACATAAACATAGAACAACTCGGCATGCTTTAAACTCATTTTTGAAAACAGATAACTGTTCCAAAGACACTTTAATAAAGTTTTCAGTTTTATATCCTTTGACTTTCAAATTAATTTTAACTCTAAAATTGTCTAAAGATTTATCTAAAATAAATAGTAAATTAGATGAAATTTTTAGATAAAAATCATTTATAACAGCATTTTTACCAGCAACTGGGTACCGGGCAAAAACTATCTCTGAGTACTTTAAAATCGCAATTGAAAATGATAATATAGTAGTTATACATAAACAATCATAAATAATTTGATTGGCGCGCAAACTAATTTGAGGATCTATTTATTATATTACTTCAAACTTTTAAATTATACGCGGAAAGCAAGTTTGGTACATTTGAACATAATTACAAACTTTACAACATTGTCTAGAGACAAATTATCCAACAACAACTTCTGATATTCATAAATTTAAAAATATATCGTATTTCATAAATCTGTACGTATATAAAAATCAAATCTATAATTTGATTTATATAAATGAAGTGTTTGGGAAATAAAAACAATACTAGAATTCAAAAGTGCAATAAACATCGTTACACAAAATCATGTATTTCCTACTTTACTACTAAATATTATTCTATCTTTTACCCTGACCACACCTGCTCGAGCACCACCACTACTATAAAGCAACAACCTCTGATTGTACACTAGGGGGGCTCCGTCTGTATTGGTGTTCTTCGTTTCATTCCAACAACGCTCATAGGAGCACAATAGAGTCAGTGAGTAAATAACTTGTGTGACGCCAACTTGTATGCCACGTCGAAAGCACTAAAAACAAATCGAATTAAATAAAATTATAAAATAAAACAAATATAATAACAAAGTATTAAAACGTGTGATATATTATTTATATTATTATTATTATCAAAAGTTTGAGAACGTACAACGCTCTTGTTAATTTTCCAGACAGGAATTTTTAGTGTTGCCATATATATAAGCGCGAGGAAAGATTTACATACAAGATGGGTTGCGGAATATCGTTCGTTAAATACGTTCTGTTCGTGTTCAATTTAATATTTGCGGTAAGTAATAATATTTAATAGTAATAATAGATACTTTAATTATGCAATTTGTTTAATGGTTACGTAAAAAGAACATAAGAGCCCCCTGATGCGTTCAAAGTTCGACGCGAGTTGAAAATACATGGAAATTGTTCCATAAATTAATTTGAAACATAGTAATTTATAATATAAATAATTATTTAAATACATATATAAGTAGATATAAACATAATTAATTAATTTAAATATTTAATTGATAAGTAATTTGAATATTTAATTACCACATCATACGTTTCGAATCGTGATTTGGTTCATCTTCAGTGCAAATTTAGATATAATATAAATATAAAGTGCAATCATTATTAAATATAACCAGTATAGTTTTAAAAACCAATATGAAAAATTAAATATGGACAAAATAACCCATTTATGTTTTGCTTTATCCTTTTGTTAGATATTTTTGCAGACTATACTTCATCATAATTTATAACATTATACTTGGAAATTGATTATATACTAACTATTGTCCATTAATGATTTAATTCCAAAATTATTTAAATTTTTTATCATTTTATGAAACATGGATTGTATTATATACAATAAAAATAATTTTATTTAATTCAATAATTTAATTCAATGTTAAACAAATTTACCTCCAAATCTAATTTGAATATATGAAATTAGCATAAAAGGGCGCCTAACTATTGTCCATTAATGATTTAATTCCGAAATTATTTAATTTTTTTATCATTTTATGAAACATGGATTGTACCTATTATATACAATATAAATAATTATAGAAGAATACTATTTTCCTTGCAATTAAATACAATGTTAAACAAATCTACCTCCAAATCTAATTTGAATATATGAAATTAACATGAAAGGGCGCCATGTGCAACTTCACGCTAGTAACTTCATTCTCTTGTAATTTTATACATTTCATTCAAAATAATTAAAATATTTATTCCAAAATAACTTTTGGTCAAATACGATCTCAACCATTGAAAGAAAATATAATCCTCTAATAATATTTTCCATTAACATTCACTTCTGAACATCGATTCAATACACTTTTTCTATCATTTCTGTCCGAGGTCAACAAGAAAACACACTTAAAGATCTTCTACTTCGTCAAGTTTCATATTACAACGTGCCGACAGCCATCATTTCCTTAAATTCTTTGGCAAGAAAATAATTTTGGCGAGCCATAAAAATACTTTACTGATTGTTTTTATCAGAAGAAAATTTAGAAACACGCACGGCCTTGCGTACAAATAAAAATTAAAGTAAAACATAAAGTCATAGGCGTGCCCCATCATTGTTCGGACCAAGACGTCAATTGGTATATAAATATGTAAAAATACTAAATAATTAATAGATTAAATAATACTTACTGATGAAAAGTTCGGTATTGACAGGTACTTGTAAGTAGTCGATTGTTGAATCATTGATTAGTATTCCATAACAACATCATCTTTGTAATTTTCTCCATATTGTACCTAGATTATTTAAAAATTAATGATTTGCTACTATCCAAACAATTATTAACAGTATTTGATTTCGAAGAATATGCATTAAAACACAAATTTATGACAAAATTTTGCACAAAGTTGTCGAAACTAGTAAAGTTGACGTAATGTTTTACATGCCATCATGGACATGAAACCAAACCGGTTGATTTATCACTTCCAGTCTGATATTACAACATAATTCCACAATATATATTGCGAGCACATTGGCTTTTTATAAAATTTGAATCATTTACCTGCTCGAAACTGCAAAGTTATCCTTTTGAGAACACCATTATTAAAAACATGTGTTGTTTATTGCCGACATTGCGGCAAACGGTCGAGCCGGATGAACCATCTCATTGTTGTACATTGATACCAACCTGTCGATATTGGGATGTTAGGCGGTTATTTTAAAAAATATTTTTATAATATAATTATTATAACTGACGAACATCAATATATATATATTTAAAACGTATTTGTTTACAATTATAGTTACAAATAAAAATCGTTTTCAATTTCTTAGAATCGTCTGACTTCACATACATAAATACAAAATGTCTCACTTGTCAAATAATAGCGCGAACTTTCAAACTTCAACATTCGAAAATGGAATTTCTGAAATGTTATCAATAAGTACTTCTGTTTATAATATGTATGAAAAAATGTATGTGTGTTCAGTATAAGTTTAGTCATACATTATTCTAACAGTTATATAAGACAAAACTGGTAATGAAATATGGTTTACTTGGAATCCAAAACGTAATAGCATTATCACCTTTATAAATTAGTCATTATTATCACGTGCATATCAAATACTCAGAAACAGAATTTGATTGATAACAATTGATTTGTATTATTTCCTTGCATGTATATATATATATATATATATATATATATAAGATTTATTAAGTAATAAATTAATTGATATGACTTCACTTATTCTTAAATACCTCATAATGAATCAAATACATTCAAAAAAATTAATCTAATAATTTTGGCCTCACAAGATAGCAATTCAACCTGTTTTATTAAGTATAATTGTAAGTTATGATTAGTTAAGACGTTATATTATTTATAATTAATTATTTATTATGTATATATACATATGGTTTCAAAAACTTGTGTGTATAGAAACAAAAATTTCACATGAACATACTTTGCATTTGAGGTGTGTTCTATTCCAATTTTTCGTTAATTAAATTAAACCTTCCTAGACAATATATATAATTAAATCTGTATTATAGCTATAATAAATTTTAACACTCAGTATATTTAAATTTTAAATATGTGTACTTGCATTTTATTGCTTTTTCGATTGTTGTCCATTTTGAAAGAAAAATCTTCAGTACAAGATGAGCTTTTTAATAAATATTTAATAGCAAATTATGTTTGCTAGGTAAAATTCATAAGTAAAGTATTTTTTACAACAAAATTTTAATGTGTTTTGATTAAAAACTAAATTAAATTAAATAATACAGAACGAAAGCAAAAGTACAACTACAAATACAACTTTTTGAATTGAATCCAATACTACTACCACAAAAACTTGCAATGAGTAATGAAATTATGAATGGCTTATTATTTTAACAATATTAAAACAGTATATATATATATATATATATATATATATATATATATATATATTGCATAAATTCATTATATTACAAAATATTTGGAATTTGTTTCCATCGCATGATATTGCCAACAAACAAAACATTGCGTGTTGTGTCATGGTACTCAACCCTTTTGTGTTTTGTTCATGTCATCTCTAATTAATTATATGGTTTCTAGTTAATTACTTATAAAATATAGAAATGTAATACATATATACACACTTGTATATATATATAATGTATATATATATATATATATATATATTATATCAGTATATTTTATAAACTAGTGGTGCCTTAAGGCAAATTCCTGGAAATTTCCATACCGCAATTTAAAATTGTTAAAAGCTCATCAAAGAAAAAAAGATTTTTTTTAAATATATTGAATATTGAAAAAATAGTTTTTTTTGAAAATAGCTATATTTTAGAAAACTCGGAAATTATTCGTTTTTTTTTTTTTGAAAATTTTGAAAGTACTTGAAAGTTTTCAAAGGTTGATTCAAATTACAAAGTAAGTTGATCCAAATGGCATTTTATTAAACTTTTTTTCTTGATCTCCTAAACCGCTGGTCTTGCCTTTGCAAAAACTTAACCAATTCTCCACTACGTCAATACAAGTGGAATGTTTTTTGAATCATTCAAATCGGATGCTCCGTTCTCTCCTAAACTTTATTTGCCTTTTCTGCACTCTTTGTTATGTATCTTTGAAACGAATGGACTTGCCTTTGCACGTCTACTAATCTGGACGTCTCTTTATCTATAGGAATCCAATGCTTTTTGAATAATTCAAATCGGTTGAGCTGTGCTCTTGAAGCCGACTATATTTTTGAAACTCGGAAATTTTTCGTTTTTTTTTTTTTGAAAATTTTGAAAGTACTTGAAAGTTTTCAAAGGTTGATTCAAATGACAAAGTATCTGATTTTCGACCGCCCAATGGCATTTTATTAAACTTTTTTTCTTGATCTCCCAAACCGCTGGTCCTGCCTTTGCAAAAACCTAACTAATTTTTCACTGCGTCAATACAAGTGGAATGTTTATTAAATCATTCAAATCGGATGCTCCGTTCTCTCTCAAACTTTATTTGCCTTTTCTGCACTCTTTGCTGTGTATTTTTGAAACGAATGGACTTGCCTTTGCACGTCCACTAATCTGGACGTCTCTTTATCCATAGGAATCGAATGCTTTTTGAATAATTCAAATCGGTTGAGCTGTGCTTCCGAAATCGTCGACTAAAAATTGTATCCATGTATACATACCTACTTACATTCCAAGGTATGCCAAAATGTTTAAAAATCTCTAAAACTTAAAGAAACGCAAAAAATTTCATTTTCGATTACTATAACATTACCAGTGGAATTACGTTTTGAATAATTTGGCTCCTGGCCCATTTATTTTTGTACATACACTTCATTTTACTACAAATATGTATATTATCAATAATCAAATAACATGTCGTCGAGTATATACAGGTCGCTCCTTCGAAACTGTTTTCTTTTTAAACAAATTCGTTATCTCTGATTGTCAGTCTGACTAATGTTGAATGTGTAATATTAAATAAACATGCAGCATTTTGTACAAGGCAAATGTATTTTTTTCCACGAAACGACCTTCGGCATTTCTAACTCGATATATCGCAGAATTTATTCGACTTGCGGAGGAAGCAAAACATTATTTTGAGATTATGCAAGATTTTGACAGACGGGCAGACGGGCGTCATATTTATGTCAATAAAGTTGCTTATTATCTATGATAAAATATCGTAAAATGTTTTAAAACTCAGCAAAAACTAGATGTATTTATGTGAGAATGCCCATGATAAGACTAAATGATGAAGATCAAACTATTTTTTTCTTGTGCGTGCTAATGGATGACTAATTAGTATAAATTAGTAATAATAATGAATTTGCGCCTAAGCACACGTGTGTATATATATATATATATATATATATATATATATATATACGTTATTATTTTTTTCTGCTATTGCCATTCGAGAATTAATATTATATCGGGTAGTTCGATTAGCATATTATTACTTTTACACAATTAAATAATTGTGTAAAAGTAATAATATAATACTAAATATTTTTTGCTGCTCTAATACTATTGATATCACTGATAAATTTTGCACTCTAAAGTATTGTTATTTTAGGCTATGGAAAAACCAGATTAAATATATTTTGTTTCGTGTATTTTTTGGTATGTATATTCCTGATTACCGTCATTCACGGCCAAAGATTGTCGTAGTTAGAAATATGACCCCTTACTATTCAATAAATTACACATTTGAACTATTCACACTTGAACACAATTTCATTGTTCTGAATCTTTGAAGTAATATTTTTGCATTTTCTGGAAAATACACAATAGCATTATTTTGACTCGTATACCGAAAACTGTCTGTGAGACGAGAAAGCGACCGCTTCCTTCTCAAAGCAAAAACGCAGTAAATGTCTGCACGAGTTAACAGATTTAATACCAGTTTAGGAAAGTCGGATATGACAAAAGCTCCCACACAACTCCGCTCGGATTCACTCCGAGGGAGTACTTGTATCGGAGTGAGCTACCCATCTCTAATAGATATGTATATATATATATATATATATATATATATAACATATATATGTATATATATATACATGCATACAACAACAAACATATATAATAAAATTCTGTGCCCACAAAAAAATTATAATCACTAACTTTTTATGAAACACTAGTCTAAATAATTATTTCCATAATAATACTATTCAATAAGGATTATTAATAATCTAGTTTATAACTATTACTCAGATTAGTTAATAAGATGAGGTCTTTTCCTTTGAGTCACGTTCAGAGGTCACTTAGAGTCGCGTGATATTGTTATTTAGTGAGATCATACATTGTGTGAGGTCACTAACAGATCCTCAATGATGTATCTGATGACGAATTAGTTGGTTTTTAGAATTTTAATTACGTAAAAGTATACTTAGCTAATTTTAGAAGAAATAGTAGAGTTTTCAAAATCAGGCTTTCCAAAATTAAGATATCAAAGTATAATATAGTATTTACAAAATAAACATGCGGTCTGTTCAACTACACATGTGATTTAAGAACTCTACAAGACGTATCGTTTGTACAGTGATCTTGTAATTTGGGTATTTTCCTCTATTACAGTAACAAATATTATTTTTAATAAGATTTCTCACAAAGTTTTACAATGTTCTAGGTATTTTATCTAATTCGAAACTCTAGATTAATGAGCATATTAATCATATACTTCATTTCATATGTCAAGGAAATTTCAAGGAACACTGCAGGACTCACAGTTTTGTAATTTAAATACATTATTCTTAAAAGTGTTCATTGCAATAATAAATACTAAAAAGTATAAGTTTATTAACAAAATAAAGAGCCATAAAAGATTTCATTGAGACGTTTATATTTTCATAGAGTTCTCCAAACTCTGCTATTTTTAATATTTCAAACATGATTTTATCTAATACTAGACCAAATATTAATTTATATGAAGAAAGTATAATATAAAGTATTCACTAAAATACACGTAATAAATAGTATAATATATTCATAAATAAATGTAGTGAAATATTTTATTTATCCAACTCTCTATGTTGGAGTTTGTCAAGCAGTTACTGCAATTTTATCATTGAAATAATAATTTCGAACTTTGGATACATTGCATGGTATAATAAAAATAA